TCTTAACACAGACGCGCGCGCGCACACACACACACACACACACACACACACAGCCCTGCTGCAGCACTTAACATGCACACACAAAGCTCTGCCTTAGCCACTTATCTTAACACACACACACACACACACACACACACACACACACACACACACACACACACACACACACACACACAGCCTCTGCCACTATCTGCAAATCTTTATATCAGAGGCTGAAGGTCAGGGTGTTAGTGGACATCTCGTGTAAATATCCTGGTTCACTGTGCCTCTGTCTTGACGATATTGGGGACACCTGAAGAATAGCCACCCTCCCCACATGCTTATTTCGGTGCTACTCTAGCTATCTAACTTAACCTTACCTAACCTCACCTAATTTAACCTAACCTAAATATCTTGTAGACCGCACGCTATAGTAGTACCCTTATTTCACCTGGCGATTAATGCCCTTAACGCTACTTGAAGGGTTAGGTTAGGGTAGTTTACTGTTAATGATCAGGTGACATAAACCTAGGGAGTGAATTTCCAGGTGATCTCAAGTGTAAAAGAACAACCAAATAAAAAAATCTGTTTTTTTTATAAACGCCTTAAAGAACAAATTTGCATACACTAATGGTAATCCATAAATTAGAAGCGGCTGTTTGAGCGTGCCGACGGCTGAGGCGGCTTGGTCGTATGGTTGGTTCTGGGTGATGACGTCTGCCTTCGTATTTTGATCTAGCCAGCCGTACGACGTGTTAAAGTCCGGCATTGGCAGCGAGAGTAAACATCAAGGCACATAAACACTGGAGATTACACACAGTAAACATTTATTATTCCTCTCAACATATGTATATACCCGGTACTCATATACATCGGGTCACGTGCCACAGGTGTATATGCAACACATCACAACACATCACCTGAAGATTAACGTTACCTTGGGTGGGTAGGGGGCAGGTTAGCGTGGTTAAGGGTGTAGTAAGGTTGGGAGGAGTGTTCAGTGGTCCGTCATCTTTGCTATACCGTACACGCCAGCTGGTGCCAGATGACACCTTCTGTTTCCACCTGCCAGACACCTGCCTTCTCCACACACACACCTGAGATCCCTCCCCGAGAATTGCTGTTCGACACCACAACCGCATCCAGCCCATACTAGCGCGTACTGATCGTTATAAGAACAGCCCAGTCCCAACCATTGTAAAAATTATCAACAACTTGTAGTCAACCAGTGTGGTTGACCTTTTTGCACTGTCACTATGTTGAAATGCCCTGTAGTATGACCTTCTCCCCACCTAGTCATTATATATCATATTTGTATCACTTATGTTACTTGTATATAATTTGTCAATCAAGAGACCCATCCCCCCATTATGTAACTATATTTTCAGCATTTTGGCTGCCATGCTCTTTCAATATACCGTTAATTATTATTTTTATTACACACACACACACACACACACACACACACACACACACACACACACACACACACACAGTCGTCCCTCTTCACATGAGTAAAAAAAAAAATCGAAACGAATTTTTGCGACAGTAAACTTGTGGTCCGACACAGCTGATGTAGTGCTGGCAGTTGAGTCGACCTCAGCGATACTGATGTCAGGGGTCGACCTCAGCTGTATTGAGGTCATTGTTGATGGCTTGAGGTACGTCTTGTCAGCATCTCTCATCCCCTCCTACAAGAACACTGGAAAATGACGATTGTGAGGAAGGTCTGGTGAGAGGACGTGGCTTACATACCTCTACTTCCTCTACCTCTTCCTCCCTTTCTCTTATGATCCTCCGCCTCCACTACCTTTTCCTTCTCATTATCCTCCCCCTCTTCTTCTAACTTCTCCTCCTCCTCCATCTTCTCTTCCTCTTCTCCTTCTCCTCTATCTTCTCTTCCTCCCCTCCTTCTCCCCCTTCTCCTCCCTTCTCCTCCTCAGGTTAGGTTAAGTTGTGTTCTCTGATGGGGAAGAAACATGGAGCCCAACCCACCGCCTTTCCCCTCAGCTAATTGCCTTAACTAATTAATCGCAGCCGTTACTGTTTCTGTTATTACCCGTTATTGTCCAGGATTCCGTTACTTGCCGTTGGTCACTTTAAAGTAGAGAGACGAATAGTGAGAGGAAAGAATTGATAAAGAGAAAGAAAGTTATGATGTAAGAGAGAGAGAGAGAGGATAAAGTTAGAGAGAGAGAGAGAAGGGGGACGAGAGAAAGAGAGAGGGTAAAGTTAGAGAGAGAGAGAGAGAGAGGGTAAAGTTAGAGAGAGAGAGAGAGAGAGAGAGAGAGAGAGAGAGAGAGAGAGAGAGAGAGAGAGAGGGGTAAAGTTAGAGAGAGAGAGAGAGAGAGAGAGAGAGAGAGAGAGAGAGGGTAAAGTTAGAGAGAGAGGGGGGGACGAGAGACAGAGAGAGGGTAAAGTTAGAGAGAGAGGATAAACTTAGAGAGAGAGAGAGGATAAAGTTAGAGAGAGAGAGGATAAAGTTAGAGAGAGAAAGAGAGAGAGGATAAAGTTATAATGTTGGTCAATGTAACGTAGAAAGATGAATAATGTGTAATATTAACTGATAAAGAGAGAGAGAGAGAGCAGAGGATAATGTTCCGGTATCGATGTGGTTAATGGTGTTGGACATTGGGATATTAACCACTTGAAAATTACCTAACCTAACCTAACCTTAACCACCAGAATGCTAAGGTATCGATTTGGGAACTTTAACCGTACAGCGTTCAAAATGAAGCTTAAACGTTGAGATATTACAGTATGGCGATCAGACTCAGCTTAAACGTTTTAATATCAGAGTATGACATTCAGACTAAGCTTAAATGTTTTAATATCACAGTATTGCGTTCAGACTCAGTTTAAGCGTTTTAATATCAGAATATGACATTCAGAGTAAGCTTAAATGTTTTAATATCACAGTATGGCGTTCAGAGTAAGCTTAAACGTTTATTATCATAGTATAACGTTCAGACTAAGCTTAAATGTTTTAATATCACAGTATGGCGTTCAGAGTAAACTTAGCGTTTTAATATCACAATATGGTGTTGAGACTAAGCTTAAGCGTTATTAATAGCACTGTGTTGAGTTTGACCTACATGGTAAAGATGTCAACATAGTTTAGGCAGAGTTGTTTGTGAATGGTGTCAGGGTTGAGGAGGAGGACCCGTCTTGTTGTTTATTATGATGATGAGGATGTGATTTTGGCGGGAACGGTGACGTAATTTTGGCGGGATATATGATGTAATTTTGGTGGGAACGATGACGTAATTTTGACGGGATATATGACGTAATTTTGGTGGGAACGGTGACGTAATTGTAGCGGAAACGATGACGTAATTTTGACATGAATTACCTCGCCCCCTTTCCTGACCTAATTTATGTGTGGTTATGGTTGCAAGGCCGGGTGGCTCCTGTGATGATCTGCTCATTAACTGTGCAAAGTTATACGTCTTGATGTTTGTTTATAAAGTAGAATTATTGTACCTCACTGACAACTGTTTATAAGTACAATTACACACACACACACACACACACACACACACTCTCTCTCTCTCTCTCTCTCTCTCTCTCTCTCTCTCTCTCTCTCTCTCTCTCTCTCTCTCATTAACAACCGGTAGTCCACTCTACAAATGAATTAGCTGCCATACTCACACCATTAAATTTACTGAAACTACTGTCACTGAGAGTCTCATCATCACTGACTCCCTATCCTCACTACTTGCCCTTGACACCCTCAGCTTAAGTTGTCACGCGCTGGTCTCTGAAGCCAGACACAATATGCGTACGGTACCTTGTCAAGATCTACGGTACCTTGTCAAGATCTACGGTACCTTGTCAAGATCTACGGTACCTTGTCAAGATCTACGGTACCTTGTCAAGATCAAACTGTTGTTGATCCCCTCTCACATAGGCCTCAGAACATGACAGAGTTGATGCCCTCACCAAACTCGCGTCTAACACTGTTGAATACAATCTGGGTCTGTCTAAAAGATCCCTTAAAACTGTAATCAAAAGAGAACTTGTTGATGAATTTAAGGCAAGTAGAGAAGTGCAGTCCATTGTTTACCATGATGAGATGTATCAAGTGAAACATGTAGGTATATGGAGCAAAGATCACTAGATTACAATATGCTGTAACCGGTAGACTGAGGTTAGGATACAAGGGTACTCGGAAAAATTGGCACTGTAAAAAATGGCATAATTTTCATACGGGGAAAAATGGCACAACAAATTTCACTTGGAGCTCACGAATCACAAACGAGATAATGAGCTACGGCGTGCATAGGTTAGGTTAAGTTAGGGTAGATTAGGGTAGGGTAGGTTAGGTTAGATTAGGTTATAAAATTTTTGCGAAAACATGTCAATAAAACTTAATGTTCCATTTTTGCTAGTCTTATGATTATGCCTTTTTTTTCTCCTGTGCCATTTTTCCTACATTCGATATAAGCACTTGTGGCAGTATATCCCTCAACTAAATGTGAAGTGTGTGGCCAGACATATGGCCACACACTCCAACACTACGTCCTAGACTGCTCCAAGCACACTATGTGTGAAATGGCGCCACACTTTATCTCTAATGGCTAGATAGCCGACATATTAAAATCGTATCAACTTTTTTTCACTCGGTAGCTATATTATTTCCCGTGTATAGAACCTGACACACAATGTGCTTGAATACTTCTCCGCAAATGTGAATAACAAAGTGTGCGGCCTCACACGCCTGTACTCACGCAGTTGTGAATAAGTTACCCACCCTCTTTGTACAGAACTAAACAATGTATTTGAAATACTCTTAATATCCTGACCACGGGGGTCTGTTATACACACCCTTTGTGAACTCTACTCTGTAATACTTTTGCGCTACCGGTCACGGGATGAGTATGGGGTGCACAATAAACTAGCTGCTGTACGTGGCAAATTAAAAAAAAATTCACACACACACACACACACACACACACACTCACACACGCACGCACTTTCTCTCTTTCTCACACTTGTACTCCACTCACACACACACTCACCAAGACGTTCTGCGGTAATCTCCGTCCAAGATGCTCTGGTGTTGGGCTACTGTGTACCCGAAGTGGGTTGTGGGCTCACCCGTCTTGACAATGGGGATCCTTGGCTCCAGGTTAAACGCCAACACTAAATTCAGGAAACACAGAAAGTGTGATAATAAGAGTAATCGCACGGGGACCGCCATGGTGAGCGCGTGTCCCTCACCCCTCACCTCTCAAAAGTAACTAAGGACTGAGGAGTGAGGAGGAGGCGCTGAGCTGAGGGCAAATGAGTTGCCAGTGAACGCTATCCCACACACGTTCACTTCTCAGAACTACAAGATTCCACAGCAAATGAATTCAGAAACTTTATAGAGAAACATGAGTGTAAGTTGAGAATTAGGTGAGAACCGTCAGGAGAGGAGGTGAGGTGTGGCGGCTGTATCAGAGGCGGGGTCTGATGCTGGATTAAGAATAGACCAGAGGACCAAAACTTACAGCAAAGGTACAGTGATGGTTACAGTCCCAACCCAGCAGCAGATATGCACTATAAGGACATGAACAGATTCGAGTATGAAGTACAAACGCTGTATTCAATGCTCGTGTGGTGACAGCATCCTTAGGTAAACTGTGCCACTACAAGCACAGATGCAGGTATATAATGTGGTGTGGGTACTGTAATCCCGTGCAGTCACTCTCATCACAAATGTTAGTATCTGTATCGAATCGGGTACAAAATACATGGACATTAATGACCATGTGGTTACAGTAATGTCTAACAAATTCAGAAACTTTGTTCAGCTTATGACTGCCAGCACAGATTTAAGTATAGAGGCACAATAACCCCACCTAATGACGTCATAATGGCTATGCCTTAACTTACCTACCTTAACAACCACTTAACATGGTCATTGAGGTGTACAACACAGGTAGAATAACACTTAAATGGTTACAACTATGGCACATTAACCTAGATAATTTATTAAGAGTTTACCAAAAACCCACTTGTATATCTCATCTTGCTTATCCGGGGGAGTCATACGCCTTCTGGGAACACCTTGACCACCTTGAGGCAGCCTATGACGCGGGGACGCTTCCAAGAGTCAGGTTGTATAATAAGTCTTGCCTCACTTATAAGATGAGGGAGCATCCTTCGTCCATCTTAATATTCTAACACGCGTAAGAGTTTATTTTTGTTAAGCTTCTGCAGATGGTAATCTTACTTTATCCTTTTCACCACTGATGGACCTGTTAGCCACCTGGGCGATCGGTCACGTCTCTGTTACGCACTGTTGGCAAGTATATAGAGGGCACGTACTGGCTCCAGAATGTATCCGTATCTGCGCCAGTGTTTGTCAAGTCTGGTCTTGAATGAGCACACACTCAGTGCTGCCACAATACTCTCTGGTAGATTATTTTAAGAGTTCACAACTTTCTCTCCCTCAAAAAGTTCGACTTGACAGTTTTCTGAGCGTATTGCCTCTTCAACCTGTGGCTGTAACCTCTAGGTGGGCGGGTGTCTGTTAGTTCCAGGTATGACCACTCGACTGAGTGTTGTTCTCTGAGGTGTCTATAGATTTATATTAGGCGTTCTAATCTCTCTGGGTACCTGGGGTGCGGGAGTGCAAGTTTCAATCTGGTGGTTTTCTTTTGGACATTTTCAATCAATTGGTAGTCTCTGGCACATTTCGGGGACCAGTTGGGGGCGACAGTACTCCAGACGGGAACGCATCTCACCTTTGAAGAGCGTTACTAGAGTATGTGACCCATTATCTTATTCACTTGATTCACCTCACAATGGTCCGAGAACACACACACACATTTGGTCTCAGTTAATGATGTTTCTTCGTGCCGTTGGGACATGTGTTACGCCTCCTTAGGTGCATCCTACTACGTGACGATGAACCTTCACAGCCATTCCTTTGACCACTCCTGAAGCCGACAGAGATCTTCCTGTAGCGCTTCACAGTCCGTTTGGTTCTAAATTTCCATTAATAACTTAGCGTCGTCCGCAAACATTTGTCTGGAGGAGTGTATACTATGTGGCAGCAACGGTCCCAGCACTCTGGCTTATGGTACACCTCATGTAACGGGTACACATGACGATTTGCTGCCATTAATCACCACACACTGCTTGCGGTCATGATCCACGCTAGGCACGTATCATCAATCCAGCTATCTGAAGTATTTGCGTCAAGCACCAGCGTCCCGACATAAAACCGTGTTGGCAGTCCTTTACAAGGTTGTTTCGTAGTAGCTGTTCTATCTTGGCATCTCTAGTACTTTGATGGTCAAGCTCATCGGTCTATAACTATTTGTGGAGTGGTGATCTTGTTTACTTACACGACTCACATATGCCATTTTCCAATTGTTCACTTGGGGATCTTTTGCCCGTCCATGCATCTGCAGAACAGGATTTCAAGGGGCTCAGCAAGCTTGATACACAACTATCTAACAATCTGGGATGCACGCTGTCAGAGCCGGGGCTTTTATGTACCTATAGCTTTGACAGTTTGTTTCAAATACCCTCTTCTGAGAACACAATGTGCGTTAGCGCTGTATCAAACCGTCTACCCCCAAACGTAGAGAATTTGTTTACATCCTCTCTTGTGATCACGGTGGAAAAAAATATTTAACGTCTCCGTCTTGTCCAGTATAACTACTGTCTTCAAGTCTCAGGTCTCATACGCCCACACGTGTCTTTAACTTCGATTTTGCTTAACGGTAGAAAGCCTTGGACTTGGCCACCTTCGCATTCCGACTCTGGAACACTTTATCCGCCCTTCTGCACTCTACTGTAGATTGGCCTGGTTCCTGCACTTGACGAACATCCTTGTGTTAATTCGACACAATAGCCTTTTTTTAGCTCATTAATTATGTAGTTGTACTTTTTTAGTGAAATAATTAGGCAGATGTGTTTTTAGTTAATTAATTATGACTTTTTTCTTTATTAGTTATGCGAGTGTACTGTACCTTGTTGGCTATGTTACCGTGTCGTATGCTGTTATTATTGTACACTGCGACTAGCTTATATTGACCGACCCCAGACTCCCAGCTTAATAGTTTCAATGGACCTCAGACTCCCAGCTTTATAGTTTCAGTGGACCCGACTCACAGCTTTATAGTTTCAGTGGACCCGACTCACAGCTTATTAGTTTCAGTGGACCCCAGACTCCCAGCTTAATAGTTTCAGTGGACCCCAGACCCCAGATTAATAGTTTCAGTGGACCTCAGACTCCCAGCTTTATAGTTTCAGTGGACCCGACTCACAGCTTATTAGTTTCAGTGGACCCCAGACTCCCAGCTTAATAGTTTCAGTGGACCCTAGACCCCAGATTAATAGTTTCAGTGGACCCAGTCTCCCAGCTTAATAGTTTCATTTGACCCCAGACCCCCAGCTTTATAGTTTCAGTGGACCCCAGACCCCCAGCTTAAAATATTCAATAGACCCCAGACACCCAGCTTAATACATTTAATAGACCCCCAGCTTAATCCACATATATTAGCCTAGAACACGGAAGGGGAAAGGTTCAGGAAGGTAAATATTTGTGTCAAGTAGTGAAGATATTTATAAGGATTGCCTACGTCTGACTGTGGCGCAGATATAGGATGACCTGAAGATTAGACACCCCAGCTTATTTCACCTGATGATTAGACACCCTAGCTTATTTCACCTGAAGATTAGACACCCCAGCTTATTTCACCTGAAGATTAGACACCCCAGCTTATTTCACCTAAAGATTAGACACCCCAGCTTATTTCACCTGATGATTAGACACCCTAGTTTATAAGCTGGGGTGGTTAATTTTCATGTGATCCCAAATTTACCTGTAATAGCTATCGTGCTGGACTAATGATCCCAGGTAATATAATTCGCTTTCTTGATGGGATATTCTATAATAGCAATGGTGGAGGTTGACTCATAGGTGTCTGATGATAGGGTGCGGTGGTGGAGTGGTTGTCATACTGGATCTGTTGTCCATTTGGTCCCTGGCTCACATCATCTATGAAGGGGAATTATGTGATTGGTATCCGGTGTGAGTCAGTACCAGTAGTATAACCATAACACCACCAGCTTGTAGTGTGGTGTAATGCATCTAGTGTGACAGCATTATGTTAGTGTTAAGGTGCAAGCACTGCTTGCTTCCTCTCGCTTTCAGCTACCGCCACTGGCTAGCTCTCGTGGCGAACAGGGACGCAACTTGCATAAGTCTTCCCCTGCCAGTAAACAGCCTCTTCACCATCAACACTCCTGCTGGCCTCCTTGTGGTAACACAGGTAACTGGGTGCCTCGTGGGCCCAGGCTAGACCAGCATGGGATCTCAAAGCAGCAATGGGCCCCAGAGGGACGGCGCGCATAGGCCCACTGGCATGTGGACACGTCCTGGCGCCTGCCAACCACTGGCCCACTGCCTTACGGATTAACCTTGGTAGACACTACGGGAGTAAACCCCGAACGAAAAATCTGTGGTGGAGCCCCGCAGCAGGCAGACATGCTTACAGATCCCCAACAAGACCCCAACGGGGTGTAGGCAGAAGAGGTAACCACCATGGGAACCCAACAACTACACCGGCGGACAAAGGCAATGCATGATGGACAGGCTACTAAGGCGAAACCCACCAAACTGGGCTATCGGCAGCCCATTGCAACTCTCCCTCTCCCCAGTCTTTGCAACACTTGCACCACTGAATTAGGAAGAGGGCTAAGATGTGTGGTTGCAGTCTGCGCTCCTGCCTTACCACATAAATTAACTCACGTGCAGCCATCATCCAGCTCATCATATTTCTCATCATCAAAACCCCTATACCCCCAAAAGTCCTATGGCGACGGACGGGTGGTGACGGGGACAGTCACCTAACGAATAGTAATCGTAATGCTGGTGGGCAACTGAAAAGGTACAAGGAAAGATAAACCTGAAAAGTGCCAAATTGACCCCCTCACCTGGGAGTCGATTACTCCACATCGTAATGCTTGGAGGAGCACCACACAAGAAGGTGTCAATACTTTTGAGTTAACCCGACTGCATACCAGGGCAGACAAACGCCAGCTCCGGGAAGACTGCCACCACCCCTCCTGCAATAGATGTAGCCTTCTACATGTGCAATATCTGTGAACGACTCTGCTGGTCCCATATCAGCTTCTTGAGTCACCTCAAAGCTCACCAATGAAGGTGACATCCTAAATAACTCATATCATTGTAGGAGTCATACTCGAATCCAAGTGACAGCAAAGTAGTATTAATATTAATCAACATATGATCCAATTACATTATAGCATCAACAAAACTGGAACTCACGAAGGATAAAAGCAAACTCATTGTATATGAGGAAGTGTATTTTGTAAAATAATAAAATAAAAACATCAGCAACATAATCACAATACAGAGATACCTGTGTATGGAAGAGCTGATGACACAATATACTTTTAAAATATACTGAATATATTGTTTGTCTCTTGGAATGCTTCTGAACTATTGTCAGCACTCCAAGTTTTTCTTAAATATTATTGTTTTTTAAGTACAATCAACAAGGAGTAGCTTATAGGTTCACTTATATATTTATCACTATGGAAGTAAAATCCTCCATTATAAATGGATGGCAACACTGATCATGCACGCTGAATGCTCGCCACATGACGCACCAGATCATTATGGTAGTTGATAATAATCTACAACAACTTTAGTAATGTTAACAATACTAGCACTAATCACCAGATAACAATGAAGTCAAACTGACCCCATCAAGGGCATACAAGTCCTGAGGCTGCCGGCCGCTAACTAAACGCCACAAATCAACGTGTTCAATCGAGAGAAAAATATATCTATATTGCATCGATAATACACTTTATTAGGGACGGAATGTAGAAATACAGCTTTACTCTTGATGTTCTAAAAATTCTCACACTTACCCAAACAACTCAAATTAACATCTCACAGCATAGCAACTTTCCAACCCTGGCCTGATGTTCTCACTCACAACACTAACTCAGCTTCTTTGGCATTTATCTTTTAAGTCCAATAACACCTTGGAATAAATTTCCCCCTTTCTTTAACATTCATCCTGGTCCATTCACTAAATTTTTCAAAGTCTTTTAATTAATATTCAAAGTTCCTTTATCCAAGCCAGTTGCAGCTGCCATTATTGAGCTGGAAACCAAAGGGTGTGTGAGATACACTCCCAGCAGTGTACAGGTATACTGTACAGTACACTGTAGGGCATGTAAACACCATCTGATTCAGGGTATGTGAGACTCCTCCCATACTTTAGTTGCCTTAAAATGATTCCATCCATCCTGGCCGTACTATTCTATAAAACTGAAAATTCAAGATAAGTACTACAGTATATGTATGAACATGATTGTTTGAAATATGCACAAGAATTCACCGCAGTGGTCAACACAGCAGTTGGTGCACAAACGAAACATTTTCCTGAAGGTTTTCAGGATGCACATGAAGCCTTCTGCTGGAGGCTTTCAGGGTGCACATATAGTTCCAATACTTCTCTTAATAAAAAAAAAGGAAGATGAGTGACAACCATTAGATATGTGAACATAGCAACACAATAAAGATATTACAAGATGTGGAAGACATACAATGACGTCTCCTCTACCTCATTAAAGGTACCATGTGCACAAAAGTGTATATACAATTGACAGAAGGAGTAAATCTTAGCAGCAAGTTAAAGCTAATCTGAATTGATTATACATTTTCTTAAAAACAACAACTGCAAGTTGAAAGAATTTTGGAATGTAATACAATCCTAAAACAAACTAAAAAAAATGGACACTACCACCAAAGCAAGAGTGAAATTGTACATTACTGGACACCTAAGAATAGTCAAAAGTTGTCCATAAGCCTTTCCCTGTGACTCCTCCCAAAATATACAGTAAGTACCTGAGTAAGAGTGGATTTGACCACAAATCAGTCGGGGGGGGACAATTTTCATCAGAATATTCTGGGATTTGACAACACCACTTAATTTAAATCTGCCAGAAAATTGATCTAAAAGCTGTGGTTAAAGCATGAACACAGTACTAGTGAACCATAAGTGAAAAATATTTTAATATAAAATTAATTGTAGGTAAATGTCAGTCAAATATTACTGAGGTGATATAGATATAAAAACGGACATTCTAAGAAGTTTTAAAACTAATAAACAATGTTAATGATAAGCAATTACATTATTTATTGAACAGTAAATGACACAACTTTTATGACCAGCATTTCCTTTTGGCATACTGTACAGTGTCAACCAAACTAACCTTTTATGGATCAAGTTTTCTCAGCTTCTTAGGACTGACAAGAATATTTTCCTGTGTTTTATCTCACCTATAAGTTGGAACCCCTTCAGAAAGCAATATTTTCACTCCCAAATTTAACATACTCAGGTTTTACAGCATGTGGCAGGAGGAAACACCCCAGCTACTGCCAGTGTTCCTAACATGCTTGGCAACTTGCTAAATCTGGACAACTAGACATATACTCTTACCATGGTTCGACACTCACTTATTACGAGACTTTCTTCTCACCTTTTATACACGAGAATTACTTTGAATTTGAGAGTAAACAATGAGAATGTATGTACAGCATTGTGAAGTAGGAGGTGGTCACTTCTCTTTTGATATTCACATTTTGCACATAAAGGCACAGTTATAATACCACAACACCTAGTCTGAGGATCATTTAACCTGCAGCAATATCTCTTCTGGACAGTAAACTATAACTAATTTATTGTTACCTTAACCCATAAGGCAATGGAATAAAGACACATTACAGATTATCTATAGGCACTTATACTTGTGGATTATGTGAAGCTTATTCTCTCATAAAACAAACAATCAGTGACGGTGGGCTGGGGATGAAACATATCGCCGTTGATGATGACAAAACAAAGGCCGCACAAAAGTTGCCTTTGTTCATTCCAATGGTGAAAAAAATTTATGAATTTCACATTTCTTTTTAAGGTGTCACTCTGCAATTCCCCGAAATCTATACAGCAAATCGATCTTAATTCCAATACAGTAATGATCAACAACTTTCAGTAAAAATTTTTGTACAGATAATTTGAAAGTTTTAGAAGAATATCTACATATCAATCTAAAAATATATATAGTTTATTTAAATTAAAGATGCAAGACTCCTTCATCTTTACAGGGTTGCGTGGCATGTGTAAGTGGGGCGTCAGTGAGGGAGTCGCCAGCGGTAAGATCTCGTATCTCATCCTGGTCATAGCGGTCCTCATCTGAGACTGACTGGTGTGACTGTTGTGATCCAGACGACATGGCTGAATTGCGTGAAAAGGAACCTCGACGAGGAGTGTGTGACTGTGTCCTTTGGTTGGCGGGTTTTACCGTAATGATCAAGTTGCTGCTGTTGGCCACCATCATATCTGTCACCTGAATAACAATAAGAGGTTACAAGTCAAATGGGTCCCAACCTAACCTAATCCCCAAGATTTACTTAGTATGTACAGTGGAATGGTTAAGAGTGTTGTGACAATGTGAACAACTCAATGCAGAATATTTCTACTTGGTAATTTGTCATTTTCTGTACCAGTACTTGTCTTGCAACAATACTGATTCCTTACCATTTTCCCTCCTTCTCTGGAGTTTGTGTCCCTAAATCCCAGTAGAGATTATCAGAGGTAGAAAAAATCGAATTACAGGAAGATTAATCCCCCCAGCTTATTCCACCTTAAGATTGACTACAGTACTAACCTAACTTAACAGATACCAGGAGGTGAAATAAGGTCAGGGGTCTCATCTTCATGCGATCCAAAAATTAAGTAACCCAAGACTTCCAAACACTGTAGCAGTAAATAAATTAACTGAAGGTCATTGAGTAAAATATAACAAAAGAGATTCGCTAAAACTATGATTCTTACTGTCATTTTTATCTGTTATATATTTATCCCACAGGAGAAAGTGTCAACGCCTTCAACTTATACTCTATCACCTTTGCCTTCACTACACATTTAATATAAAATTTCTACAAATATATATTCACATTTACTTTACAGTACACTTTTGTTGTACTTCTCACTTTTTGCACAATTCATTCCTCACTATTTCCTCCCTTTTTTGAGGTTTCTGTCTCCCCTGATTCAGCCCACAAACCAGAGAAATAAGAAACAGTAAACAGACAGACTATCACTAACCTGGTCTAGGGTTTTACCATTTACTTCAATCCCGTTCACCTCCAGAACCTCATCGTTGACTGCTAAGAGACCGGTGCTCTCGGCCAACCCTCCAGGCACCAGACGGGATATAAAGATACCTGGGACTCTCTCCAGGCCATGGGGCGTGACTCTCACACTAGTACCATCACGGATGTAAAACCCAAGTGGCTTGTCTGACCCGTGCTTCAGTAGCCGTACTCTTCTACAAACCTCTGGCACCACATCCACGTCGATGATGGCCGCCACCTGTTTGTATAATTCAAATTAAAAACTAAGCACATGCAAGAGGGTATTTTGTGATGAAAATTTTCATTAACTTTTGCTGGCTAACGCATGAAGTGAGATGTGGGTCAGTCGTACACTTATTACACAATACAGGTACTGTAAACCAATATGATGCAATAACTGATACCCATACAGTAATTAGTAGTCATTACCAGTTATCAAAAACAATTTGCAAGATACAGTAAAACAATAATTCACATTTTATGTAATTTGAAGAGCCACTAAATTTTTTTTTACGTAAATGCAATACACCCACACACACTTAAAGCCGCTGTGGTTATCCCAAATGAGGTAAACATACCTGTCTGAAATCTTGAGGATAGGATATGGATAACTTGTTCCGGTGCTGCGTTACAAATGGTGAGAGAATGCTGGATATTCTATGGTTGGAGCCATTTGGTAAGTGTTCCAAGCTCCCTGCAAATGATAAATATCCACATTCTTAATCCATACATATACAATACTGTACAGACAAAATTAAAATTTATTGCGCTACAAATCACAATGCTTAAAAATGGGAGAATTGGGTAAAGTCAAATTGGCAAGTGTTACACCACCTCAAATTGTACATAACACCACACAACAGAAAAAAATTACACACAAATAAATTATATATAATTTCCAGTAAATTTATACAAGCAGAACATTGCAGTATAGTAATGTATCACAGTTTATCCTCATGTTGATAATAGCAACAGAAACACCAAAACACACTCACCCTTGTGTTGGACGATGATCTTGAGTAATGGACGGGCACACTGGAGGGCCTTTCTGAAGTTGTCGTCATTGGTGATGGGAAGGAGGTCACCATCACGAGGGTCTGTGTAGGCCAACACAAAGGCTATGTTGGCTAATCTGTGTAGTTCCTCAACTAAACTACGGAAGTCCTCCAGCTTTTCATACTTGTCCCGCTCGACACTGAAGCGCCGGAACTCTGCATCAAACTGTCCAAAAATAATTCTTATAAGAAACCAGAGGAACAGTATATTCCCAACATCACCAAAACACCTCAATATTCATCCCCACCCTTGCAGCTTATTTTACCTATGATTAAACATCCTAACATTACCTTGAGAGTTAAATTAGGTAAGGTTAGCATTAGGGCATTTCATTATATCAAGTGAAATAAGCTTGGGCAGGGCGGGGGGATCTTCACTTACTGCTGCACTTACTACTGTATTTGCAGTTTTTGTATTTCTTGTTGTAAATAAAGGGCTTTTATCTGCCATGTAAAGCCAATAATATTTGTAGTGCTTGATCTGGTAGCAACCGAACACTTCTTCGCACTTTCCATATGAACATGTGTACAGTATACCTAACCAAAAATAATGTACTTCCATCCTAGGATATGTAGGTTAGGGTGGTTCATCTTATCTCTGATAAGTCATATTAAGTAACAGTCCCCGAGTGCTCGTGTATATGAAATGGTTGTCGTGTAACAGTGAAAATGGTGTATGTGGGATGTTGAGAGTGGATGTTGATTAAGGAAGTGTTCAAGACAAAGTTGACATTCCATCATGTTTGGGATTTTATTGAAGTAAGAAAGATGTAGTCTTCAATACAAAAATAATCTACAGTTGCTGGTTATACCCACAAGCATTCCTCGTTCCTTGTTGCATTATAAAAGTTTTATTAAATTTATCAAAAACAAATACAGTAATCCCAATCATTCCATTTTTCCCTTGAGCATGTCTTGATTCTTTGAGGATTGCACATACCTCCGTTCACTGTATACCGGCTGTGTTCACTGTATACTTGTCATGGCGACCTGTGGTTTAATGGTCAGCATGCTCGCCTCGCAAGTGAGGGGACTCAGGTTCGATCCCCGGGCAGGGTGAAACTATTGGTAAGTTTCTTTATGCCATTTGCCTGTCTACACAGCAGTAATTAGGAACCTGGATGTTAATCGATTTGCTGATGGTGTTCCGGGGTAAAGGTTAGCCAGTGCAGTTGATGAGTTGTCCGGTCTTCTCGGACTATTCCTTGACACTGGATCATGCAGCTCGTTAACTCAGGGTGTGGTTGTTGTGTTGGCGACAGCTTCTACACCTTAAACACTGGGTCGTGCAGCTCATTAACTCAGGGTGTGGTTGTTGTGTTGGTGACGGCTTCTACACCTTAAACACTGGGTCGTGCAGCTCATTAACTCAAGGTGTGGTTGTTGTGTTGGCGACAGCTTCTACACCTTAAACACTGGGTCGTGCAGCTCATTAACTCAGGGTGTGGTTGTTGTGTTGGCGACAGCTTCTACACCTTAAACACTGGGTCATGCAGCTCGTTAACTCAGGGTGTGGTTGTTGTGTTGGCGACAGCTTCTACACCTTAAACACTGGGTCATGCAGCTCATTAACTCAGGGTGTGGTTGTTGTGTTGGCGACAGCTTCTACACCTTAAACACTGGGTCATGCAGCTCATTAACTCAGGGTGTGGTTGTTGTGTTGGCGACAGCTTCTACACCTTAAACACTGGGTCGTGCAGCTCATTAACTCAAGGTGTGGTTGTTGTGTTGGCGACAGCTTCTACACCTTAAACACTGGGTCGTGCAGCTCGTTAACTCAGGGTGTGGTTGTTGTGTTGGCGACAGCTTCTACACCTTAAACAAATTCACGCCTAGGTGGCCCTTGGGCCGGCCATCCCCGTACACGAGGGGCAACCATTATTTATTTATTATTACTTGTACTGTCTGTGTTGACTGTACAGTTGTACTGTCTGTGTTCACTGTATACCTGTACTGTCTGTGTTCACTGTATACCTGTACTGTCTGTGTTCACTGTATACCTGTACTGTCTGTGTTCACTGTATACCTGTACTGTCTGTGTTCACTGTATACCTGTACTGTCTGTGTTCACTGTATACCTGTACTGTCTGTGTTCACTGTATACCTGTACTGTCTGTGTTCACTGTATACCTGTACTGTCTGTGTTCACTGTATACCTGTACTGTCTTGTACTGTCTGTGTTCACTGTATACCTGTACTGTCTGTGTTCACTGTATACCTGTACTGTCTGTGTTCACTGTATACCTGTACTGTCTGTGTTCACTGTATACCTGTACTGTCTGTGTTCACTGTATACCTGTACTGTCTGTGTTCACTGTATACCTGTACTGTCTGTGTTCACTGTATACCTGTACTGTCTGTGTAATGCTAAAGTTACATGAACTTGTATAACCATTTTACGGAGCAAATACCAATTTATGTATGGGCTCCTATCTACGGCACCCCCCTGGTCCACCCCACACCCTGCTGATAACAGACAGACACCCGGGTAATAAAATAAGTGGTTATTAGTGAAAGACAATATAAATAAAATACTGCAGTTATGGGGAGTCAAAGTAAAGATCATAAAAATAAAATTAATAGTTACGTGAACGTGTCAAAGTTAAGTGACACAAACACACTTGTCAAATAAACCATGTGAACACGAGTAGGGGTAAAGAATATTAATGCCGGAATATAGTGTGTCGTCGTCACCCACCTTACTCTTTAATAGGTAATAAAGGCGAGGAGAACAAGTAAAAAAAAATAGTGAACATAAGTAATAAGTTATGGTGAGGTGAGTCAGAGTGTCGCTGCCACTTACCTTACTCTTAACTTCTATCAGTGTACTCTGAGTGGCTCTCGTCTGCGCTTTACAACTCCTGGACATCTTCAATTAACTCGTAGTATTGTCCAGTTGGTCAAAATAACGCCACTATGGGTAAATTGGGTGATTTTTACATTTTAAAGCGCATTTTCGGCTGCTGGTTGACTCTTGTTTTGGATTTCACAAACACTAGTAGGAACAATGACGTCACGAGCACCTGTTGTTGTGTCTCGCTCCAAAGTCATTCTTACCTTTCCTTCTCAACAAAACTAACATTTGGGAGACATATCATTTGAAGTAAAGAACATTGTTGTAGAGGTTATTTGTCCTTAACTCCATATTTTAATTTGTATTACACAGTAAGAGATATTCTAATATTGCTGTGAGACGAATGCTGGTTTTATCCACAGATAAGTGTGTAAGTCAACATATATTTAATAAAATTATGTCGAAATAACTTTAAGATAATCATGGAAGTCATACTAGGTAAATATTGATAGATAAATAGGACAAAATATTTATATTTCGAAAATTAGTTTTGGGGTTAAGATAACGGGCGGAGAACTTACAGTGAGCGGGAGCTTCAAACATAGTTATACATTAGGAAATATTAGTAAACGTGCAACACATATTGTGGCCTATTAATAAAAATATATTATTTTCTCCACAATTATATCAGGCGATAAGAAGTGGCGAAGAGGATAAAGGTAGCAGGCAGCTACCAGACAGGGAGGTACTACCGCCTGGGAAGATATTGGAAGCATAATGTATTGTCCATGGTAGACCCTGCTGCCATATGTGACCAAGTCCCAGGTTGGTGATCTGACTTTCTGCTTCATTTACACACAATTGCAGGTCTTAATTGTTTCTCTTACTATTGACAACACAACATACAGTACATTTATTGTTTCTCACTTGATCTTTTTTATCATTTTTGTATTTCTTTATTATTATTATTATTATTATTATTATTATTATTATTATTATTATTATTATTATTATTACATTTTCGCCCCCCAGTCCCCGAGGTGGGTCAGTGACCTGTGCCCGGGTAGAAAAAGAAGAAAAAAAAAGAAGTGTACTTGGTCTCCCTCACACAGTCTTCCCCATCTTCAAATTTGATAGATATATATCCAGTAAAATCTATATTTAAGTTTACATTGAATCATCGTGCATATAAATAGTGCAGGTATAGCCTATATCGTACGTAGACAGTACAGTTATAGCCTACAATGTGCATAGTGGCGTTACAGATATACAATGTACATTGACAGTGCAGGTATACACAAAATTTACTTTGACTTGATAATCATTCTATTATTCTTCTATAGAAATGTTTTGTTACTAAATTTGAATATTTTTGTATAATTGAGCACATAATTATATCAGAAATGTTAGCAACCACGTTTGGCCAGTAAAGTTGGCAGCACTATTTTTGACAAAGCTGAATAATTTGGAGTACAGTTCTCGTGATATATATATTTTTTTTTCATGCTACTTTTCTTCATTTAATTTTTTTTATCAGTAGATAATTTAATTTACCCTATTTTTTTATTAAAATTTGTATATAGGATCAAGGTTGGACTTTTTTTAATTGTACAATTCGTACAGGGATTTTGGCGGGAGGGAGACTCTTACCTCCCGTACCTGGAGGCTGGAGGGAACGGCTGCCGGGTGTCATTCCCACCCAATGTTCTTCTCACTGTAGGTATGTTGTATTTCAGATTTATTCAAGTGGTTTAATTTATACTTTGATAATAATATTATTTTTTTAGTAAAGTTGTCATACAGATAACAATTAGATAAGCATGTTTATAAACTGCAGTTATACAGTACAGCATGAGTATAGATGATGTAGGTAGGTCTTGGGAGTATATACAGTTTCCTGTGTGGTCGGCACTGCCACTTTAGGAAATAACTATTACTCCCGCATATCATGTAAATTACCTTGGAGTGTCACACTAAATGTAGATGGCGCTGATCCAGTGCCATATATGTTCATGGATAGGGGGGGGGGGGCGAGCAAGTATGTCAAGATAAGGCTATGTAAAAGGATACCCTTTTTATTTTTCATTCACTTTTTTTAGCAAACGTTTTATTAACATAACAGTAAAATAGGCGGATATACAGTAGGTTTGATTTGCAGTTGCAGTTTTGGAAACAAAACACAAATTATAGCCTACAGTGTACAGGCAATTGTATTCATACAACACAAAAGTTCCTTAGCAAAAAATATACATACATTTTAAAAGAAAACACAATTTTTTCTTCTAGATACTGTAGTAGGCAGCTACCAAACAGGGAGGTACTACCGTCTGGGAAGATCTTGGAAGCATAATGCATTGTCTAATGGTAGACTCTGCTGCCATATGTGACCAAGTCCCAGGTTGCTGATCTGACTTTCTGCCTCACTTACACACAATTGCAGATCTCAATTGTTTCTCTTACTTTGACAACACAACATACTGTACATATACTGTTTCTCACTTTTGACCCTTTTTCACTTTCGTATTTCTTTATGGTTCTTTTATTATTACAATTGTTATTATTATCATTATTATTTTATTTCAAATTTTGTATTTTTTATTATAAATTTTATTTACTATGAATAATAATAATAATTTTTATTATTACTACATGTTCGCCCCCCAGGCCCCGATGTGGATGAGTGACCAGCCCAGGTGGGCTAATCCCCGTAAAAAAAAAAAAAAAAATAAATAAATAAAACCTTGATAATGGAATTAATAGATAGAGAGAGAACACTACTAGCTTATTTGTGGAGTGTACTAGCTTACTTTTGGAGAGAGAGAGAGAACACTACTAGCTTATTTGTGGAGTGTACTAGCTTACTTTTGGAGAGAGAGAGAGAACATTACTAGCTTATTTGTGGAGTGTACTAGCTTACTTTTGGAGAGAGAGAGAGAACATTACTAGCTTATTTGTGGAGTGAACTAGCTTACTTTTGGAGAGAGAGAGAGAACATTACTAGCTTATTTGTGGAGTGAACTAGCTTACTTTTGGAGAGAGAGAGAGAACATTACTAGCTTATTTGTGGAGTGAACTAGCTTACTTTTGGAGAGAGAGAACATAGTATCAGATTATTTAATTGTGAAGTCCAAAGTCAAGTAATCTGTTATTACAACCAGATTCACTAATGACCATCGCAATTCAGCTCCATATCTTTGTGTACAAATAGTAAAGCTAATGCATTCAGTCCTTATTGTGACATAGTGGAATGCAGATAAGACTTGAGATACTTTAGGCAGTTGTCACAGGAGGTGTTGCAAGAATATGTATCAGAGTTTGGATGTTTTGGTATGTGCCAAATTCTCCGCAGACTTTTAGTGAGGCAACAGCCGTTTTTTGGTTTATTCATGTCTTTTGCAAGTGTTCTGCCATCTTGCAAATTCTGTTTGTACCTCCTCCATACTACCATCAAGGAACTTACTGTAAATCACTACTGCCTCACTTACTTCTGAGAACACAAAGAGAAGGTATCAGATAGCAGAGCTTCTGCCAGGAACTTTGCTTACAAGTGAAACGCTCTTTCAGTTGCGGCGTAACCGTGTCAATGAAAGGCAAAAATCCAGTGCGCCTGTAATAGGAGTACCGGTATGCGTCATCAACTGGGGGATTAGACCGAGTCTGTTGTCGCCCTACACTTCTTGGCGCTTTAATTTCTCTCCCACAGTTTTGTTTTGCATTCTCAAATAATCTTCTGAATGTATCATCATTTCTGTACATTTGCAACACATCCATGCAGTTCTTCACACTGTATAAAGCTGTACCAGCTCCATCTCAACACCTTGCAATTTCTGAAATAAAGGTCTCGTAACGTTCAAAATAGCTGGTAGAACCTCCATACTGTACTTACAAGGAAAGATTCTGATGTCATACTCTTTAAGAAAGCTAGAGATTTTCCCACCAAAGTTGAGTCCTTTGATGCGGAGAAGTCTTTTAGTGCTTTTACAATGGCTGGATACAATGCTTGAAGATTTGACTCGACCCATATTGTGGGGCACTGCTTTTTCAGTCTACTACGAGTCAGAAGGACAACTCTCGGTTACCTTACATTGTAAATGAGCTGAAGGCTTGTTCGATTCCCTGAAGAATGTGATTGTCTCTCATGACAGTTACTGCAAACTGAATTTCTCTTACATTTGCTGCTTTCTCTGACCAAAGGTTAAGGTAATGAGACAAATAAAAAACCAACAAATCAACTCTGTATTTGGTTAATGTAAGTTATAGCAACAGACCTTTTTCGGTAATTTACCTTAACTGCTGTCACAGGAGTAGTGGTGAGAAGGGGGGTGGGGCATGGCCGAGTACCCCCCCATATACGCCACTGCACTGATCCGACTGAGTATTCTGCTGCTGGTTGGCTGTTTGTATACATTTGGAAAGAAAACTGCGGCGTGTTCCACCTGTCAAATCAAGAGCGGATCCAGGGGGGTGGGGGTCCTGGGAGTCCGGACCCTCCTTTTCAACAGAAAATCCTAATACTTTCTCTTTAATGCAGTATTGTACTCAGGCATTATTGTATAGTAAAAAGTAATTACTATTGAAGTCTGAATAATATCAAGTGCACATGGCTTCAAAATGCCCAGGATATTTGTCAGATTTCAAAAAAATTTCTGGGGTACTTATAGCTCCTCCCCCACTGGGTAGGCTCGCTATGCTCGCCATGTTGCCCCACCTAAACCTTCTTGGACCCCCCCCCCCCGATATTCCTGATTTCGCCCCTGCAACTGTGTAAAAAAATAATTCCCAACTTGGGTACCTACCGGTATGTTTTTTTATTATTATTATTATTATTATCCTCTACACCACTAATTGGCTCATTAGCTGCTTGGGTGGTCAGTCACGTCTGTTACCAAGTACTGGGCATGCACTGCTCCAGTATTGGTCAAGTCTGGTCTTGAAACAGCTCACACTCGGTGCCGCCACAACACACTGGCAGGTTGTTCCAAGAGTTCACAATTCTCTCTCTGAAAAAGTTTACCCTCACAGTACTCTGGACTTGTGGTTTCTTCAACCATGAGCTGAGACCCTTGTGGGGCAGGCATCTGCTAGCTCCAGGTATGGACACTCAACTGAGTAGTGCCCTCTGAGATGTTTATACGCTTCAATTAGGTCACCCCTTGCCCATCTGTAGTATAAGGCAGTTCCCAGTTTTATTAATTTGTTAATTAAAGCTCTTATTTTTTTTCTTGGAGTTCTTATTTTGTTTTAAGTTACTAGTTTTAGTATTTTCAAAGTTCTCACTTTTACCTTACATTGCCCTGTTTCTAGCCTAAGTTCCCAGTAGTGTTTTTTTAGCTCAAGTGCCCACTTATTCTTAGCCTGTCTTCCCACTCCTTGGCTCAGTTGTCAGTGAGGAGTTCTTCCCTAATTCTAAGACTCCCAAGAGGACCTTATGTAGGGCTCTGGTAGATAGTAGATGTCAATTTACTGAATGTAGATAGGTAAGACAAGATAGTCTCACCTTTCCTTCATACACACCCCCTCCCTTCTTCTCCATTACACACCCCTTACCTCTCCTCCTCATTTGTTTAGGTTTAACAATACAAGATTTGACTTCCTTGAAGATCTTTCATTTATCAAACAATAAATACATCAAGTCAACTTATTATATAAAACAATGGTTGAAATTCTTAGTGGTTCCTATGATGTGACAAATATTACCTAGCAGTTTCCTTACCACCAGACAATAATTCCAATCAGAAATTAGTCAACTGGGCTCCTACCTAACCTATCCTAGAGATGGTTAGGTTAATGTCCATATATAACTTGTAACTGTTCCAATCTAATTTGTAGTGGACAGGAACTTTCTTGGATGCATTAAAAAATACAAGTATTCAAGACCACTGTTGAGAGAAAACTTGTATGTCAGTTTTTCCTATTCAAATCCATCAAGTATGGAAAGTACTACTAAGGTTACTAATACATAGTCCCTTCAACATAATATACAGTAAATGCATCACTCCAACAATCACATTAGAATTCAATGAGTATATGGTCCTTAAGGCAGTTTTAACACTCTCTTGGCTGATCCAGTTTTTCTCTTAAATGACCATTCATACTTGTTCAAGATTAATAATATATACAAGTTGAGTACACTGTATATGTTTTCCTCCAAATGTCGGCCACTAAGCTCAAACCATTGTTACAATGATTTTTCTGTGACCTTTTAACATACTTGATATGCCAAAACATGATTATTTGTGCCAAATATCACCACCATTCTGGAAAAGCTGAAAAAAATTACACATTTTTTATATATCAAAACCAGTTGCTCAAGAAACCATGTAATAAATGATGTTAGCAACATCTTATCCAAACAACATAATAGTTCCCAGGTCAAACCTTTAACCAGATGATCTTACAATCACTAGTTTATGTTCTCAATACACTTACAGTAGGTATGACCCGGCTCTGAATTTTTTCCATCAATATGATCTCGTCACCTTGTACATTTACTAAGACTTAAACTACCTTCCATCAAGATGATTCGAGTGTCTACTTAGACCCATTAACTCAATCGAACATCTACCAATATTCTTACCCTGTATGTAAAAGGTTCACCAAAAGTTACAGCATTCCTAATAAATATCCCATTTCTCTAACCAACCGTAATACAGTAAACCCCCGATGTAACAGACTGATTGGGGAGAAGGTTGGTCCGTTAAAGCCAAAAGTTTGTTATATATTTGGATCTGTAATAATGATGGACACGGTCGTTATATACCAACATAGATCGAAGTGACTATGATCATTTTACCGTGACAGAGGGAAGGTTCACTTGCACAGTTAAGCACAGTTGCTTATATAACGAGCTAACGATAATAACACCTTCAGGCATATATCTCAATAAATGTCTGTCTGTCAGAGGTCTTGCCTGGCTAAGTTCATGAGCTGTGTGGCTGGGTTGCGTATGCACAATCACCCTGCTTACAAATATTTATGGCACTTGATACATTTGGTATGTTTTAAAATACCCAAATTCAGTAGCTGCATCAAGTGCCATAAATATTTATGTATAAGCCAAGTAAATTTCTCCAATCACACACAGTCCATGTGGCTGGCCAGCCGCCCACTGCAGAGTTGCCACATTTTTTTTTATAATATTCTATTTAAGTTATTTTATAGTAAAGTTCTTATATCTACCAAATAACTCAATAAAATAGTGAGGTTAAAAACTCAATAGATTAAAATGATACGTGTGGCTGTTAGGGCGACAGCAGTGCATGGAATGTAAGGTAGTCATACTCACAAACTGAAGGTCAAATCTTGGAAAAACATACAGTACAGTACAGTACAGTACTTTTAATGCTGTAAACTTACTAATATGAGTTTAGATGGATAGATTTACTGAGTTAAATTATCATACATTTTCCACAGTGGTTCAACATGTTTTGTTTTATACAAAATGTACTAAAGGGAATATTATCAGAGAACACGACAGGTATTTATCGAGTCAACTCATGCAATACGCAATAATCTATATTATTATTATTATAGGAATATATTATGAAATAGATTAAGATGAATTACCTGTAATTACAGTATAGGAATGAAATATGAATTACCTGTATATTAAGATACAAAACTACGTTAGGGTGCGTAACTGCTGGCTGGTGAGGGGTGGCAGAGGAGGGAGGGTATGCTGTTTAGACCTCACCTCATTGGCGATCCCTTTATAACGACATCATGCAATTTCACTATAATTCCCATTTTATTTGGGTTCATTTGGTGGTTGGTTAATAAAACATAATCAAAAAATTATTAATTTTCCCCCAAATCCCACTTAATCCCCGATGAGCTGTTGCACTGTGGTACATACCCAGTCTCTTGTTTATAGTGGTACACTGTTGATTGTTCCTCCCGAAGAATGTTGCCAGCACTTGCCATCTCTCAAACACTGGGTTTTTGGGGGTAATTCTAGTGACTCAGAACCCTGTTTTTGTTGAATTAACGAGGATATAGTGTAATTACAAGTAGATTATTTTATGTGGTAGCCAAGGCATAGTAACAGAGTACGTTGATTAGTTGGAACAATCTCAAGAAACTGACCAGAAAACAAACGAATAATCAAATACAAACATTTTAAAATTATCAAATACTGTAATGTCAAAATATTATAAAATTTGTTAATTTGGATTTTTCGGCAATTCAAGTATTTGAGTCCGTAAGTTTTTTTTTTACCATAATGGACCCCGAGTCTGTTATATTTTCTTTAACAGACCCAAGTTCATAATACTGTATATGAAACTACAGGTAGTCTGAATGGGTCAATGGGTTCGTTAAAGCTGAGGCTCATTATAGACGGTGTCCGTTATATCGGGGGTTTATTGTATGGCCAGAAACTTATCATTAAAGGCACATTAAATGAAGTGTTTTATCAGATGCAGAAAAAGAACACACAGCACAATTTGGAGTGAGTACAAATTTAAAAAGATAACCGTACAAAATACTGCATGTAGCTAATAGAAACTAATAGAGTAGTGTACATCCTGAACTCAATAGTTAAAGCGAGCCTTAACTTATTTATACACTCTATGTTATATCATCCTGAAAATAGTATAAGCTGCTCTGGACCACTAAAATAATTATAGGCCATGCAGGACCACAAAAATGATTATTAGCTGTCTAGGGCCATAAAATAATCACAAGCTATATAAGACCACAAATATAATGTCACCAATAGAGCCCTAAAAGTAATGCAATTAACAGAGCCATAAAATTATGTTTAGCTTTTCATATTTGTTTCAGTATGTAATTACGTTTCTATGACGTACTGTATATTACGAATAATTATGTTCTTAATATTCCTTCTCACTTCAACACAAAAACAAATGTATGGCCAACATATTTGCATGCTGTTTCTGCTTCACGCATTTATTTTAAATGACCTTTTGATTTTCCCTTGAGTGGCCTTAGTCATTAGTGGCACCTCCAGGACCAGGACCTGTGAACACATGACCACATCATTACCCATGGCCTCAGGATCTGTCAATGTAGTGTATTCTATTTTTGTTTTATCTTGTGAGACCTTTACCAGCTGCAGTACTGTAGTGTATATGAGGTTAACCCCTTCACTAGCGAGACTCCACTTTTAGTATTATATTTGGTTAATGCCAGACGATTTTATTTGGCTCGGAGGTGACTATCGTACACAGTGGGGTTAAAATTGAGCTGTTTTTGAAGTAAGTATAATGGTATAATAAACAAATCTGGAGTGCCCCATTCACTACACAGTCCAGGGGTATATCACAGACTCTTGCACCATCACTCATTCCTTTTTACCAGAATAAATGATGTGTTCTTCTGTGACATTCCCCTTCTACAATAAGGCCCCAAAGTATATGTGAGTATCTGGTTTACCCAAGTTACTTCAACACAACTTAGCATTGCCCATCAGCAGCACACCCATCTCTCAAAATCCCCCTCCTCTCCTTTCACACACCTCATTGTTTCTTGGCTGTCCTTCATCTCACCATTCCACCTCCTTCTTGATCTTCCTCTCTACTTCTTGCCATCCAACTCTGAAATTCATTCTTTTATGTTTACCAATTTTCGCTTACAACCCTGGTCACCTTTCTGTGAATAAATATCAAGTTATTTACATGATTTACACAAACAGTCCCATCAGTCGGCAAGAAAAATTCTGAGGTGTCACAGTTTCTTTTCCTAACTCCTAATCATTATTATCCATTTGTTGAACTGTTTTGTCCCCCTGCAGTACAAGCATTCCCCAATTTATGAAAGGTTCTGTCACCCCAAAAACTTTAAGAACTTGACTTTTTGTAAATTGAAGGAAATGTTCCCAGAGACTTCCAATTACTGTACAAGAGTGGAGATTCTTTCCCAAAGCTACCTAAAATGCCACAAAACATGTTTTTATGAAAATTGTTATTGTACACAATGATTATAAGCCATTAATAAACATATTAAGTGAAATATACTCAGTACTGTACAGTAATAATTTTATGCCTGTACTTACAAGAAACCAGATGAGATTTGAAACAAATTGAACATGAAATGCTAAGCCAACATATATAATAAATATATAACAGCATGCCTTTAAAATGTGCGGGGGTTGGGTTCTCAAAATGGCCGTGAATAACATTTCCTGACTGGGAGATACATTTTTAATCAATGTGCAAAGAAATGTATATTTCCTCCATGTGTTTTTCCTTTGGCCAATTATTTCTTTTACCTGTATTGTATATACAGTATGTGTAGATACCCTGTACACACAAAACACGTACAAATACATAATAATTGGAAAATCCTCTCACAACTAATCAGAAACAAGACAACAAAATGTAGAAGAAATGTGAGTCAACCCTCAAGTCATCTCCGTGCTTTGTTATAATAACTAAGCACACACACATATACAATGCAGGTAAAAGAAATTACTGTCCAGAACGAATGGCTCCCTGTCCCAACCACGAAAATGTCAGCAACTTTAAAACTACCCTTAGACTTTCTTGGGTACATCCAGGGTGTCATCCGCAAGTTTTCGAGGTCCACAAATTAAAAATCCACGAATTGTCAGGGCATGCCGTACTGTATTACTATAGTAATACATTGATTTCCGTTTTATAATTGAAGAAACAGGGTATTGTACTGTGTATGCTTTTAAAAACAAAACCCTACACACTTGAACCCTGATGGTTCTAAATTAACATGCATCCGCCGCCTTACCTCGTCCATCACAGGCCACAATCTTTAACTTATCCACTTGGGCAAAATCTTGTACTTCTTTAAACTCCACGTCTGACATCAGGAAAGTCCATACATTGTCACAGAACCGGTAAGTGTTCAACTTGCTAGCCTGAAAGACACCAACACTTTAAGTCTGTTTGAAAACAGTACAAAGAGACAAACTGTAAAAGAAAAATGTAAAACAATTCACTGGTTAAAGGGAATAAATATGAAGTAAAGTAACCATTTGACTAAGTGTTGAAAACTGTAAGTGAAAAATCAAAATTTTCTGTATTAATTTTAATATCAGGTTCAGTATTACAATTTAAATTTGACTTAAAGGTAATAATGTGTTGGACCCCTTAACGCTATCACAATAGGATGCCACTTTTAACATTTTATTTGGTTAATGTCAGATAATTTTATTCAACATGGAGACCACAGTACACAAGGGGTTAATAATTAACTGGATTTTTGGGACACTAAAAAATTCAGAGGGAAACAGGACCATTTTAGCCCCGAGGTTTCAAATGTTCTAAAATTTTAGGTTGGGTTTAATATTCTGGATCAAATAGCCATGGTAAAACAGTTAGAACCATTAATATTTGTTAATGTTCCAAATTATCAGCAGTCTGTCAAATACTGTGCAATGCTATACTGTAAATCCTAAATATTGAAGTTTGGGACCAAAAACTGTGTAAATATAACATACTGTATACAGTATAAATAAGTACAGTACAGTGGTCCCTCGATTAACGAACGGTCCAATTAATGAATTAGCTCCCATAAGGATTTTCAGTTCGATTAACGAACAAAACTTCGATTAACGAAAGCCTTACGAGAAACACGTTTTGTTGTGCGCATCAGCTGATCAGCCAGTCCGCCAATACAGTAATCAGTTCTATGTTTACATTCGTTTCCAGTGGAGTAAATATCAAGAAAGTTGGTCTCTTGAATATTTCTGTATTTTTTTATTAAAATTATTGGTCATTCTGAAATTTAGTTAACATATTGATAATATAGACAGTACAGGGAAAAGTTTTTGTGCGCCCATCAGCTGATCGAATCACCCAACAACGCTTCTCAGTTTAACTTTGTTTACAGTGGAGTGAACATCGAGTTTGTTGGGTCTCTTGAATATTTTTGCATTTTTACATTAAAATTATTGGGCATTCTGAAAATTAGTTAACATATTGATAATATACAGTGCACAAATTATTATGAAACACAAAGAAGGCATTAGAACCAATGCACTCTGTAAAGAATATGGCATGTCATCATCGACTGCCTCTACAATCAGCTGTTTGATATGTAAACAAAGCTGCCGGGAATACGACACACACACCTCAAATTATGTTAAAATACAGTATTCTATTGTTTTTTATTCATTATTGTACAGTACTGTACAAACTAGTATTTAATCAAGAACAAAAATACACAGTAACAAATATGACTCAAGAGTCACTGAAGTGTGTCCTGTGTGTTTAATGATTTACAGTACTATACTGTATAAGCCATGGAGCCTTTCATCACCAACCTCTTCTAATTCTCTCTAAATCACCTAACTAAACATTTAGTAAAAATTATGGATGTGTCAACTATCATGCTTAAAATTCAGATTAGAAACATACCTTGAAATTGATGCGAGTGCGGACCTTATTTGCCAGAGCCGTGTTAATTGCACGGTCAAACTGCAAGAGCACACGAAGAGCGAGGTTTGGTGAAATTTGCTGGAACTGCAAACAAAGTACTTGTTAGTACAAATCATTCACAGGAGCTACAGAGATCATATTTGAGAGTAACTCTACGACTGTCACTGCTCAAGAATTAATGTAAGGTGCTGTAATTTTACTCTATGCCTACCATACCTCAGTTACGGAATCAATGATTATCTGAAGGTTAGACCCCCAGCTTATTTTATCTAAAGATAAAACACCCAAGCACTTCCTATAGTCTGTGCACTCGAATGTTGCAAATGAGGCCTGGGGTCAGTTTGTAGCGAGGCAGCAGATTGGCTGGCAGACGGACACAGGAAAAGTCACTACAGTTCTTTTCTATTTAATCTATCATATTTATATCTTGATATTTTAAGGGACAATAACTACAGTACTCTGTGTTGATCTCGGATAACTTAGGTTAGGTTTCGTTGGTTAGGTCAGGTTAGGTTAATACTGAGTAGATGGCTAACACCAGAAGGAATTGTTCGATTTCGTTCAATTTTTCTACAAATGTTTTTTGGATGATTGTAAGTAATATAAATGATTCGGCAGATATTTACTTTTATTTTTTTTCTTTCTTTATCTACAACTATAAATCACCTGTAGTGGGTGATGAGGGCTATTGAGGGGTAAAACATGGTAAAAAAAATTTGTATGACCTAAAATGATGCTACTCGATGCTTTGTATGCTAGAAAATTATTTATTTACCATAAATTTTCAGCCGAAAAATTTGCTGTATTGGCGCGTTTTGTCTTCTGCTCTTTGTTTAGTTACACTCAGTCCGAGCATATTCTCACGTCAACAAAAAAAAAAAATTTCACCATGCTGCCTCAAGAAATTTGATTTTATTGGTACCAGAAATCCAAGTAAGTACTTTCTGTTTAATATAGCGGTGGGTCCATCCCCCAGCTAGGAAGTTAGGAAAGGTTAAGTAACTTTCTTTAGTTGGTTAGGTCAAGTTCTATTAGGTTCTATGCATTGTCATTATAATTTTTATTACTTACTATAATCCACAATCCACAGAACATGTGGAAAAAAATTAATGAAATCGAACGTCTTCTGGTGTTAGTCATCTGCTCCAGGATTACCTTAGTTAGGTTAAGTTCTGGTGTTAGCCATCTCCCCCAGCATACCAACGAATCTTTACCTAAATTACCCGCACCACCCCAAGGAGCTAGAGGTTATCCTTGACTAGTGAGATGTACCCAAGACCTGGCACTTAGGTACGGTCCAACGAATTACCCAAAAGTACCCAAATGTACCCAAAAGTATATTAAATCAGGGTAAAATCTTAACGAATATATGTTTTACATCAATAAAACCTGATTAACAATGTTTTCATTGAAATGTAGTCAAAATAATGAAATAATAAACAGCGAAAAATGCTAAATTCCAAAGTCACCTATCCAAAATGGAGATATAATTACCAATGTTTCTGTTACTTTGGGGTATTTAACATAGCCGTAGGATTTACTTTTCGTTAGGTTAGGTTAGGTTAGCGAAGTGCATCACGATGGATCTGAGTTATCTCCCTTGTTCACGAACTCTTTGGAATTTAGCGTTCGCCAATACTGAAAGTTTTTCGCTGTTTATTATTTCATCTTTCAATTTATTTTTACAAAATTACATTAAAAATATTATTAAACATGTTTTGTGTATGTATAACAGATATTCGTTAAGATTTTACCCTTATTTGCTATACTTTTGGGTACATTTGGGTACTTTTGGGTAATTCGTGGCTCTCCTTAGGTATGGTGAACGGAAATAAAGTCACTTGACTTGTACACAACACAATATATACAGTATATGATGGCACTGCACGTAGGTTAGGTTAGGTTAGGTTAGGTCAGGTTAGGTTTTCCGTGCCTTTTTTTCTTGTGACCTTTTCCTGAATTCGTTAGGTATAGGACATAGTGCTACTAGCGGTAAGGTTGGGACCCAGACTAATAACCGTGATATCTTACTCGTACATTTAGCCAACAGACTGACCTGTATGAGTTCGTCGAGGCTCTCCTGGAGTGTGTTGCCCAGCGTGGTGTTACGGTACAGTTGGTACGTCATGATGGAGGTGTCTGTAGAGCAGATGTGTTTTAAAATAACCCTGTGCAAGGCTACCTAGAACACTGAAGAGACTCGACACACGCCACTGTGTCTAGGCTACTATAATAGTACTGGTGGTAGCTGGAAGGTCAATTGTGTGGCTAAATTTGGTGTTGTTGTTGATACCGCAACAAGATGGCTGTTGTTCAGTGGAATTCCACGAACAGTACTACGAGACCAGTTAATTTTTATCAACCAACATGAACAAACCAAAAGTATCATAATCGATTAGAATTGGTATACGGATTTTAAAAATTATATATTTATAGTTTACATCGAGTTTAACTCAAAACTACAAAACAGTTTACTGGCATTGTTCATGTTATATCTTTAACATCATCACTGGAGCGGGTACAGGTACATTCAGGAGCCGATGCAGCGCCCAGTAGTTGCCAACAGTGCGTGACAGAGACGTGACCTATCGCCCGGGCGGCTAACGAGCTGATCAGTGGCGAAGAGGATAAAAGTAAAAAAAGTAAAGTATATATACTATGCTTGCTGCTTGGTACTCGTCTCCCACACCGTTTGGGAGATTTATTAATTCAATATTATACAGTTTCACAATGTTAGAATTACCGACGACAGTAAGAAATATTTAAAAAATATATTTAATAATATAGTGACACTAATTTAAAATGTATCTAAGCCGATGGGCAAATATTGGCCGATGAAAGGCTAAATGAAAATTAAAAGATCTGTGGCCAGGAAAGGTTAGAACACAAACTGACATTTTAGTTTTTTAGTTTAACAAATTTATTGACAAAGCTTGGAGTACAGTTTATCGATTTTAGATTTTCTTAGATTGCCCACGAGATAATTTTAATGGTTAATTGTGGTTGTAAGTGTGCCACTATACGAGTTGTGAGACTGACTACTGTTCACGTATACACTCCGTACAGTACAGGTATTAGACATGAAAACTGACGCGGCAGACTCTCGCTTGGCCAGTCATTCAAGTACTAGAGTGATTCGTGAGGAACAAGTACAATCACCCAAAAAAGTCCTGTCGCGAACCATGAACCCCGAGATTCAGACTCTTGAATCCGAAGCATTTATGGACAGAATATTGTATCAGTGTCTACTGCTTCGGGTTCACGAGTCTGAATCTCGGGGTTCATGGTTCGCGACAGGACTTTATTGGGTGACTGTACATATGTCTATGAACAACTCTTTTCTGTGATGAACTTGAACAAGTTTCGGCTTCGGTCTCAACTTACTGATGCGCACCTTAATTCAATACTGAAGGTTGCTACACCTCAGTCGTTAGTGCCAAGCTTTGATGTATTGGTCCATACCAAGAGGTGCTAATTATCAGGAAGTAATAGTAGCAAACAATAAGATTGATCAAGGGAAGTAAACACTTCATTTGTTTGTTTTTAAGGGTTCCACACGAGCGCAGACTAAATCCACCTTTCTTATTTTGTCGTACTACTCACCTAAGAGGTGATTGCGAAGTGCTCATAATTATGTTACTTGGCCCACATACTGTGTACTCATATTAAATCTGGCCCGCCTTGGCAAATGAGTTTGATACCCCTGTTCTAGATCATATTCATTATTTAAACATTAACAGTATATATAGGTCAGATTCATGTGGGTTGATGTCGCTGTTCACTGCAATGCAGGACAGGTTCGTACACAGGGGTACCGTAATAATCCTCCCCCCAAATCTGCTGTTGTCGTCTGCCCTGTTTACAACCTACCTGCTAGGTCCCAGCATATTCTCACGTCCACAAAAAAACGTAAAATTACATCATGCCACTTCATCAAAGTTGCTTTCATTGGTACCAGATATAAAGATAAATACTTTCTGTTTAATATGGCCCCCTTCCCTCGACAAGGCCACCTCTAGTGGGTGGCCATTTGGTAAATAAGGGAACAAAACCGTCTGAACGTCTTGTAAGCTGGTAAGGGGGTTTTATAAATAAATAAATCGGGTAAAAGTTGTTGTTATAATGTAATTACTGCTTTTAAGCAACGGATGTCTTTAAGCGCGTAATTATGTTACGAATACAGTACACTATTCTATCAGCGATTAAAAATTATGTGAGATAGACATTAAACTGGACAGGAAAAGTAACATAGTCGCCCCTCACTTACGAGTATATCTCGGTTTCTAACATTGAAATCGACTATTAAAAAAAACGACAAATTTATTTTACAGGGCTGACTATTACTTTAACCTGAAGGGTGACTTGCTAAGGTTTACTGAAGTTGTTTGTAGACGAAGGTCGCTAGAACTTCATATCCAGCAGGTGGTGATGTGGTGCAGCAGGTGGTAATGTGGTGCAGCAGGTGGTGATGTGGTGCAGCAGGTGGTAATGTGGTGCAGCAGGTGGTAATGTGGTGCATCAAGTGGTGGTGTGGTGCAGCAGGTGGTAATGTGGTGCAGCAGGTGGTAATGTGGCGCAGCAGGTAGTGATGTGGTGCAGCAGGTGGTGATGTGGTGCAGCAGGTGGTGATGTGGTGCAGCAGGTGGTGGTGTGGTGCAGCAGGTGGTGATGTGGTGCAGCAGGTGGTGATGTGGTGCAGCAGGTGGTGATGTGGTGCAGCAGGTGGTGATGTGGTGCAGCAGGTGGTGGTGTGGTGCAGCATGGTGTGTGGTGAGCAGGTGCAGCAGGTGGTGATGTGGTGCATCAGGTGGTGGTGTGGTGCAGCAGGTGGTGATGTGGTGCAGCAGGTGGTGATGTGGTGCAGCAGGTGGTGGTGTGGTGCAGCAGGTGGTGATGTGGTGCATCAGGTGGTGGTGTGGTGCAGCAGGTGGTGGTGTGGTGCAGCAGGTGGTGATGTGATGTGGTGATGTGGTGCAGCAGGTGGTAATGTGGTGCATCAAGTGGTGGTGTGGTGCAGCAGGTGGTGATGTGGTGCAGCAGGTGGTGATGTGGTGCATCAAGTGGTGGTGTGGTGCAGCAGGTGGTAATGTGGCGCAGCAGGTAGTGATGTGGTGCAGCAGGTGGTGATGTGGTGCAGCATGGTGATGTGGTGCAGCAGGTGGTGATGTGGTGCAGCAGGTGGTGGTGTGGTGCAGCAGGTGGTGATGTGGTGCAGCAGGTGATGTGGTGCATCAGGTGGTGGTGTGGTGCAGCAGGTGGTGGTGTGGTGCAGCAGGTGGTGGTGTGGTGCAGCAGGTGGTGATGTGGTGCAGCAGGTGGTGATGTGGTGCAGCAGGTGGTGGTGTGGTGCAGCAGGTGGTGATGTGGTGCATCAGGTGGTGGTGTGGTGCAGCAGGTGGTGGTGTGGTGCAGCAGGTGGTGGTGTGGTGCAGCAGGTGGTAATGTGGTGCAGCAGGTGGTGATGTGGTGCAGCAGGTGGTGATGTGGTGCAGCAGGTGGTGATGTGGCGCAGTAGGTGGTGATGTGGCGCAGTAGGTGGTGATGTGGCGCAGCGGTGATAATGTGGTGCAGCAGGTGGTGATGTGGTGAAGCAGGTGGTGATGTGGTGCAGCAGGTGGTGATGTGGTGTAGCAGGTGGTGATGTGGCGCAGCAGGTGGTGATGTGGTGCAGTAGGTGGTGATGTGGTGCAGCAGGTGGTGATGTGGTGCAGCACTGTAATGGCGCAGTAGGTGGTGATGTGGTGCAGTAGGTGGTGATGTGGTGCAGTAGGGTGGTAATGTGGTGCATCAAGTGGTGGTGTGGTGCAGCAGGTGGTGATGTGGTGCAGCAGGTGGTGATGTGGTGCAGCACTTTGTAATGTGGTGCAGCAGGTGGTGATGTGGTGCAGCACTTTGTAATGTGGTGCAGCAGGTGGTGATGTGGTGCAGCAGGTGGTAATGTGGTAAGTAGTGCACATAATGTGTTGAAAATTGCTTTATAAATTCGCTAAATTCCGCCAATTTTATACCAAAAGTCCATTACAGAGAACAGTGGAAAAAAAATGGGGATTTTTATGTTCATTAATATGATGAGCTGGAGGTTAGAATTGTGCTCCAAAGCTTCACTACATCAAACTATTCTCTTTGAACTCAGCCTCATGTCTGGTAGTATTAACAACTTTTAATATGTAGCGGAAATGCTTCCTCGTACATCAAAAAATATTACTATTTTATGAATGATTTAAGGCTCAAAGTGGCTGCATCTGTTAGTAATAATGTTGGTTGTGTGGGAGTGTTGTACCTGGTTGTGTGGGAGTGTTGTACCTGGTTGTGTGGGAGTGTTGTACCTGGTTGTGTGGGAGTGTTGTACCTGGTTGTGAGGGAGTGTTGTACCTGGTTGTGAGGGAGTGTTGTACCTGGTTGTGTGGGAGTGTTGTACCTGGTTGTGTGGGAGTGTTGTACCTGGTTGTGTGGGAGTGTTGTACCTGGTTGTGTGGGAGTGTTGTACCTGGTTGTGAGGGAGTGTTGTACTTGGTTGTGTGGGAGTGTTGTACCCTGCTTGTGTGGGGTGCCTGGTTGTGTGGGGATGCCCTGGTTGTGTGGGAGTGTTGTAGTGTGGGGTGTTGTACCTGGTTGTGTGGGAGTGTTGTACCTGGTTGTGTGGGGTGTTTGTAGCTGGTTGTGTGGGGTGTTGTACCTCTCGTTGTGTGGGAGTGTTGTAGCTGGTTGTGTGGGAGTGTTGTAGCTGGTTGTGTGGGAGTGTTGTACCTGGTTGTGTGGGAGTGTTGTACCTGGTTGTGTGGGAGTGTTGTACCTGGTTGTGTGGGAATGTTGTACCTGGTTATGTAGGAGTGCTGTACCTGGTTGTGTTCTTTGTGTTGAGGATATAACTACATCTTGTGTTGCTGTGTTCCTCCTCTCTGTGACTCTCCTTGATGCACTAATATATATACAGTATATGTCTCCTCCAGTCATTCCTTCGTCGGCAAGTGCTCGGGACGGCCCTAGACTCCTGAAATTGCACTTGTACTTCGTTAAGGAATGATCACTATGGACGCTTGGTTAAAGACTTAGTTGCCTTTGTGTAGTCTTAGGTTCTCAGTTTCCAACGTGTGGTCTTAAGATCTTAGTGTCCAATATAGGGTCTTAAGGTCTTAGTTTTCAGTGTGTGGTCTTAGTGTATGAATTTGTAGTGTGTGGTTAAGGTCTTAGTGTCTTGTGTATGGTCTTAGGGTCTTAGTTTCCAACGTATGGTCTTAGGGTCTTCGTTTCCAGCGTGTGTTCTTAGGGTCTTTGTTTCCAGTGTTATTGGTCTTAGGGTCTTTGTTTCCAGCGTGTGTTCTTAGG